CCAACCCACGGTTAATGTTGAGGAGCCGATGGAGTTAGGCGCACTCCACCCTCGCTTAACGGTGCGAGAACGTTCGAGAAGGTTTCAGGAAGGCTTGTGCCTTTATTGCGGGGGTCTGGGACATTTTGTTAATTCCTGCAAATGGAGAGGGACCCGCAGACCCGTACCTGAAACCACTCCTGGCTCGTCGGGAAAACAGGGTAGACCTGACCTCAAGGAAACCCTAGGTCGGGCACGTTTCACATCCCCACCTCAAATTGCTGAAGCAAATCCTGGCCCTCCTCGGCATTTACTTTTGGACACTCAATTTTTTTTACAGTCACAGAAGGAGGGAATTCCTGCTGTTGCGTTGGTGGACTCAGGGGCTACAACCAGCTTTATGGACCGAGCTTTTGCTACGCACTATGAGATCCCATTGGTTGCTGTGGATCCACCCATTAAGGTGGAAACCGTGGATGGGCGTGAGCTCAAGTCTGGGCCCATTCGTTTGGCCACCCAGCCAGTGCGTATGATCATTGGGGATCATGAGGAGGCGATAAGTTTTTATATCACCTCGAACCTTCATCGCCCTTTGGTGCTCGGAATGTCCTGGTTGCATTTGCATGATCCGTTGGTGGCTTGGTCGCAGAACGCCATTTCTTTTCCAAGTCTCCAATATGTAGACCATCTGAGACAATTGGAACGAGCGAAAGCAGATTATAAACGTTTCGCAGATCATTCGCGTCGAGCGACGCCTCAATTGGCTGTGGGTGACAGGGTGTGGTTGTCAACGAAACATCTTCAAGTTGATCGTCAGACTCGGGGGAAGGGCCCTGCGGTGAGGGATAGTGTTGTGACTGGAAGGATTGATCCTGCTGGGAGTTTTGACTCTGATGACTGTTAGATCGTGGATTGATGCCAGAACTAGAAGAACCAGGAAACGTCAATCTGAAGGGAGGCATCAGGACAAACATTGATTGGAGCGAATGAGAAGGGCAAGTCAGTAAATTAGCACGTTGCCTTAATGAGTATAAAAGGACACAGCTGGGCTGGTACATTTCGCCAGGAACAAAATAACTATTTGAGTGAAGACGTTACAGCTAAGAGCTCTGAGGCTGAAGATTTATTGCCAGGACTGGTTTGCCGGACAGAGTAAAGATTTATGCTGTGGTTTCTGCCAGCCGTTATCTTGTAAGACTTCTTTCCGTTTGATTTAATTGTGAAACGGCTGCTTTCTGTTTTGTTCGTTTGAATTTCGAAGGGGAGTCATAACACATAACTATGTATAAACTTATACCTATTATCTTGTAAGCGATGGACAAATCAAACTGAATAAAACAAATAAATAAATAAAGTCATATTTCCTGCAATCAAGTTTGGTGTGGTTTACCTTGAGTTTGTATCTATTGTTTGCTTTTGTGTTGTTATGGTTGAAGCTGAAGTATTCATTGACAGGTAGGTCATTGCAATATATAAATTCATGTACTATACTTAGATCGGACTGAAGGCAGCATAGTTCTAGATTTTCTAGATCTAGAATTTCAAGTCTGGTGGCATAAGATATTCTGCAATGAGTAGAGGAGTGGAGAACACTTCTTGTGAAATATTTCTGGACTTTCCCAACTGTATTAATATCAGATACATAATGTGGGTTCCCGACTGATTCAAGTATTGGTCTAGCAAATGTTTTGTATGCTCTAGTTAGTAGTGTGATATTACCAGACAAAAAGCTATGCATGATTAGGTTAGCAACTCTTAATGCCTTTTTGGCTATGTAGTTACAGTGGGCTCTACCACTTAGATCATTTGAGGTGAGTACTCCAAGGTCCTTGACAGAGTTTGGATCATCAACAAGGTCTTGACTATTCAGTTTCTATTTTATCTTCTGATTTTTTTTGCCAATATGGTAAGAATTATAAATGCTCATAAAATGCCAGCTAAAACACTGCTCAAAAATGCTACCTGAGAGGCACAGTACAAATGATCTAATGATCGTTACACACCTGACCCCTCCAAAAAATGAAAAGAAAATGTTGATGACAAAACAAATTAATTCAATCTTTTAATGCTCTTTTTGGTTGAGATCAGGCCTCATTGTAATGATGTAGCATTTGGAGGAAAAGCCAGGAGACCAGAATTGGTGGACAAGATGGCTCCACGCTTGTCATGTACTTGCTTGCTCTCAAATATGCAGGGGCAAAAAACAACCACACAATGCAAAAATAGGCATGTTGAAGATAATAGACTTGGTTTCCTAGAAAGTGTCAGGTAGCTTCCTAGATAAGAAAGCTACAATAAAACTAATGACCAGGAAACCCATAAAAGCTAAAAGAGAATAAAACATTACAACTGATTTTTCATTACCTTCAACAATTATTTCACTGATTATGGAATTCATATAAAAATCTGGAGAATTGGAAAGTGAAGAAAATAGTGTTTTACCAAGTTATTGTTTGAGAAACAGTGCTAAATAGAAAAGCTGCACAGAGATTTAGGTTAAAAAAGGGTTTATTTGGTATTGTATGCATACAGATTCATGCATATAAGTTATAGGAGCCTCTGTGGCACAGTGGTTAGAGTGCAGTACTGCAAGTTGGCACTTCAAATCCCACCAGGCTCAAGGTTGACTCAGCCTTCCATCCTTCTGAGGTGGGTAAAATGAGGAGCCAAATTGTTGGGGGCAATATGCTGACTCTTTAAACTGCTTAGGGAGGGCTATAAAGCACTATAAAGCGGTATATGAGTCTAAGTGCTATTTCTGCTATATAGAGAAGGAGAATATTATTACATCTTCTTTCATGTCCTCTTCTATACTGTCATCTAAACCTTTGCTAACCAGCTAATAAAACACTAATTGAACAAGCAAATGGAAAATGACTTTTATTGAAAAGAACAGATGCAATGCAAATATGAACGAACTGATATAATTGATTACCAAATATACTTTCTACAATGAAGTGTCAGATGTTCCTTTAATATCAATAAAATATACCAATTCAATAAGCTATGGAGTAGTAAAATTTAAACTAATAATAATAATTACAGACAGAAAAAATTGCTTGAGAAAGGACTATTTAAAATGAACTGAATTGACACAATTGCTTAATTTTTAAAATAAAGACAACATAAGAAATATTTGGACTCCAGTCACAGTAAATAGGTCTATGAAAATGAAATGAGATATATCAGCTTGAATGGGATAATTTAACTTGAAAGTAGATCTTGATAATAGGTAACAAAATTATACCTGTTTTGTGAAGTTAAAGGAAATCAGAGAAATTCTTTTCAACTAAAATTAAAAATAGTGTTCCCTAGAATACCTGGACCGTGACCAGTAAAGGATATACAGAGAATAGCATTGAAATTGTAGCATGCAGGGGTGGGATTCTACCGGTTCTATCCAGTTCTATAGAACCCCTTGTTAACTTTCTAAGTAGTTCGGAGAATCAGTAGTTAGAAGCAATCTCAGTTTGTTTGTTTTCCACCCTTATTATATTCTTGGCAGATAGCCTAGACTTCCTGTCTCTGGAGCTTGTGAGGCTTGGCTTTCTTAAAGGGTGTTCTCTCGCCAAATAAGAGACTCACAGACCGGAGTTGAATTCAGCTCTTTAATGCAATTCAGTAAATTCAGTAACTTCAACTGCAGTCGAGCTGCAGCAGCCCCTTTTATAGCGGCTGCTCTGCGGCTCGCAACCAATGACATTTATTTGAACTTCCCGCCACTATAGGCAGCCAATCAGATACCAACGTTACTAACCAATCATATCATTGCTTCTGCTAACCAAAAGGAACATCGTCCTAGAAGCCTTTATTTAAATACACTACAAAGGGAAAGGGTTGTTTTAAGATTTTTACACTGCTGTTGGGAGGAAATATGAAGCAAAGCTTTTAGTGACAGGGAACCAAGATGAGTGACATTCAGCAAGGCTTCTTGGCTAGCTAGAAGGATTGACATTCAAATGTGAGTTTACATACTCTTTCTGAGTTTTGGTCTAAAACTGTTTTTTGGTGAAGGTTATTTTTGTGCTTAGTGAAGTTGAACCCTTTATTGATGGGACAATTTTCCCTATTCAGCTTCAACAAGCAACAGCTACTGTCATGATTTAATTATTTGTATTGTGTTTGAATTTTTTCTTGCCAAACTTGCAGGATGCAAGCTTGGTACTCATTTTTTTTTACTGCCTTTCTGGGGGACATGTGACCTTTCCTTAAATCTGGGTGGTTTCCTTAGGATATCTTGTGAAGTGAATGAGAAGAGCTGGTGTTTTTAAGTGTTCAGATCGATCAAAAATTGCTTCTCCTGGGTGTGCTCTTTCTGGAGAGCTTAAATGACTTCTCTGCTAAAAGGTTTCATTTTATGAGCAAAAGTTGGCTGTTTGATAGTTATCACTACATGTTAAATATTTTCATTCCTCAAAGTACTCTGGCACCCTGCCTGATTTGTAACTCTGGCTTGCATGTATTTTTAATCTAGTGATATTTAGGGCAGCTTTTTGCAAGCAAAGAAACTTCGTGTATTTTTGTACAGGTAATCCTTGACTTACAGCAATTCATTTAGTAACCATTCAAAGTTACAATGGCACTGAAAAAAGTGACATGACAATTTTCCACACTTATGACTGTTGCAGCATCCCCACTGTCATGAGAGGCCAAACGAGGAGAAGCGCCCCTTGACATGAATGATGTCAAGTTGGCTATGCCCACCCAGTCACATGACCACCAAGCCACACCCACCAACTAAGCCACACCCACAGAACCAGTTGTTAAAAAAACTGAATCCCACCCCTGGTACCATGAGAACAAAACTGAATATGGATTGTGTGAGAGTCTTTGAATTCAAAGTCTATCTCAGAGATTATGAAAAGAAAAAAAGAACACACACAACTTCCTTCTTATTGCTATAATAATAATGGCTATATATAGAATGCCATACTTTGACAAGATAGATATGTCAAGAGCAATTTAAATGTCATGGACTATTGTATTTTTACAACTAGAGGAAAAAGTAGTGACAATATAGTTTAATTCACTCTTTTTATTAATTGTTCTCTTTTATTAAGATCTGGTCTAATTATAATAATGTAACATTTGGTGAAAAAGATAAAAGCCAGAAGCCCGGCACTTGAGACCAAGATGGCAAAGACCTCCACAGCTATTGTGTATTTTCCTTTGGTGCTTATGTAGGCAGGAACAAAAGATAACCAGACACTGCAAAACACCAACATGCTGAAAGTGATCGACTTGGTTTCCTGGAAAGTGTCCGGTAACTTCCTGGCTAGGAAAGCTGCAATAAAACTAATAAAGGCCAGGAAGCCCATAAAACCTAAAACAGAATAAAACATTGCAACTGAACCTTCATTACATTCTATAATTATTTCACTATTTATAGACCACATATCAAAGTCTGGGAAGGGAGGAGAAATTCCAAGCCATGCCATACAAAAAGTACTTTGAATAAAAGAACAGGAAAGAACAATGAAAAGAGACAGTCTTTTCCCAATCCATGTCCTTATCCTTGATCCTGGTTTGGTGGCCATGAAAGCAAGGACCACAGTGATGGTTTTGGCCAACATGCAAGAAACAGCCACTGAGAAGATGATCCCAAAAGCAGTCTGTCGAAGGAGACAGGTCACCTTCATGGGTCTGCCAATGAAAAGCAGAGAACAAAGGAAGGAGAGGAGGAGGGAGATAAGCAGGGTGTAGGAGAGGCTACGGTTGTTGGCTTTGACGATGGGAGTGTTGTGGTTCTTCAAGAAGATTCCTAGCACAAAGATTGTGATAAAAGAAAGTACAAGAGCTGATGTGGCTAAGACTGTCCCCAACAAGTCTCTGTAGGACAGGTAGGATATATATTTTGGCAAGCATAAATCCTGTTTATTGTTTGGATATTGATCTTCTGGGCATTGAAAGCAATCTTCCATATCTAAAAAAAACAAAAACAATTGTATATATTTAAGTCAAAATTTACTAAATTCTTTCTGTGTCTTATGGCTAAGACTCTAGCTTCTTTGGGCCTCAGAGAGCCCAAAGAAAGACTAGAATAATAAACTGATACCTTTTTGATTTTTTTTTCTTTCTGGGCATTCAGCCAAGAGCATTTCACACCTCATAAAAGTGTTGTTAGATAAAGCACTTGAAGAGGGAGAGCCATTGAAAAAATCAGATCACATAGCCACTAGCCTCTGACAAGATTAATTCCCAAATAATAAGAATCACATAACTCACCAGAAACTACACTAAGACTCCAAGATCCCTGTCTATTAAGCCTGGTTTCACTCAGTCTTCTATTTAAGTATTAAGTGCATGAAATAATACACAACTTCTTTTTAGGTAATCAGGGCAAAGAAGCAAGGTCAAGTTGGCCACACCCACCCAGTTATATGACCAGCCAGCCATGCCCACGCAGCCACATGCCACCCAGACAGTCATTAAGGCAGACAGCCCTTGCTAAAAAAATTTGAAGCTCACCTCTGGTATGTACAGAAACTTTATTTTAATCATTGACCAATACAAATAAATACAATAAGACATACAAAGCAAAGTTAACCCCTGATATCAATGATTTTTTCCCATCCATTGTGGGGACATGTTAAGGGTAAAGTTGTAAAAAAATTCTAGGAGAGAGAGAGGGAGGGGGGAGAGAGAGGGAGAGAGAGGGAGAGAGAATTGTCTTGATTATCTACAGACTAATGTAAATAAACATGATCAGTGACTTGTAAATTTAGATAAAAAGGCTAGAGATGGCAAACATATCTGTCAACTGACCAGGTTGTGTTTCTGTGATACCTGTGTCATAGGATCAGTGTTTAACAAGGTTTTCCTATACTTCCCTTCTAAAACAGCTGTAGGGAAGAACATTAATTTGGGGAAATGAAAAGTAGAAGCACTTAAGTGAAAAACCTACAAGTTTATATAAAATAAATAAAACTAGGGCCAATACATATTCCTATCCAACTCCCTTCCTTAATGACATATACTTTTTTTTGCCATACCTGACATTCAACCTTGTGATTTTATGAATTTTACTTAGCAGAGGTTTGTCTATTTTAGTGTATTTAAATGTATGCCAGATTTTAAATCTAGTTCCTATGTTGAAAGCTGACCTAAAGTTAATAAATGCTGTAGAAAAATAGATAGATTTATGACTATACATTTCTACTAGGTGTTGCAGCATCATAGCAAGATCAAACACTAATAATTCTGCTCTGAACCTAACCTTTTCATCCATCAAAATGTCTTCAGCTTCAAGGCAGTCAATTAATAGTAAACAAACAGAATAATTGTTATAAAAGATTGGTATGAAAGCATGTTTTTATACTAGTATACTATCCTGTTTCCTTTAGATAAACTATAGCTACTGGTACATATCTTCCTTCCTTCCATTCTTCCTTCCTTCTTTCCTTCCTTCTTTCCTTCCTTTCTTTCTCTTACTCTTTCTCCCTCCCTCCCTCCCTCCTTCGCTCCTTCCATCTTTCCCTCCCTCTCTCCCTTTTACCTGTTTTGTCTGAGATCTTGCCCTTTGGACATGGAGTACAATCATAACAGCAAAACAATTTTCCTTCAATTTTGGTCTTTCTGTAACCTGAAAGGCACTTATTATTACAAAGTGAAAGAGGCCGCTCCTGTCCCACAATAGAAAACAAAAATAGTTTGTAATATAGAAAAACAGTGTTCAAGCTACAGGTATGTATGAATGAATGGCATAGATCTCTATTCTCTTTCATTTATTTGAAATAAGATATACAATACATGAAACATATGAGGAAGTTTGACAGAAGCAAATTCCATCTGTTACTCAGATTGCAGTTACTTTTGTGACATTTGAAAGCAAAACAGGTGAAAGAAAAACTAGTTGCATGAACAAAATAAAATTGTTTGTTTGAAAAATAATAATAATCAGCTCTCATCAAACTTAAAAGCAAACTGTTTACTGAAACACAGTGATAAATACATAAGTTAGGTTGTAGGTATATGACAATAAAGGTTATCTTATCTATCTTATCTATATAGTTTTCAATTGCACTTATTTTTTATTAATTTATTTATATGTTTATTCAATGTCTGTACTAGCCAAAACTTGGCGATTTCCACCAAGAATAACTAGGTGCAAAAAGTACATGCACCAAGTTTTTAGATGGATTCAGAATGTAGTCATCAATATTTTATGGTCATCTTATTCAACAGGAGAAGGCCTTCAATTTCCTCCCTAGCAATGTCATTGCCTAAAAGAGAAACAATCTAGTTTAAATATATCATATAAGTCAAAACTATAGAAGTCATTACAGAGAGTCTGGAAGATATACTTTCTTCAATCAGTCTTCCAGACAGAGTTAAATTTGTTTACAGAAAAAGGAAGGAGTATCTCTAAGGCATACTATAGAGATGTCTCTCACGGATAAAATCACTGATTTAAATTTTAAAATCAGCACAATTGCTAACAAACTATCCTGGTTTTCATTATAATCCTTATGAACACCTTATGTTTCTACACAAGGTGCTCATGAGTTCAAAGAGATGGATTAAGATTTTCTCACTTCAAATTGTAAATCCTGGATTATTAAATTTAAAAAATGTTCAAGAAATTTTTTGTCTTTTTTAATGAAATGGTATTTTCTAATAGTTTGTGAAAAAATAGTTACAGAAAAAGAGAACATTGCTACTATTTTCTAGAGTATTAGAGAGACTTTCAGAAGTAATATTATTATTTTTAAAAATAGTCAGAAGTGCACTTTACTTCAGAATGTTTGGAAGATAATATATTTACTTTCTATTGACATATGGACCTGTATATTCATGATTGACCGTAGTAAAATTGAAACCATTCATTTTGAAATGAGCTGGATTTCACCTGATTAAACCGGTTGGGCCAAATTATCTTCTCTTCAGAAATAATCAGTGGTTTGTCAGAGGTAGTTTCTGGATCTATCCTTCCAACTTTGACTCTAAGAAATGTCTGATTTGGAAATGTGATCCAGTTTACAATATCAAACTCAGAAATTATTTCTCCATTTTTATCAAAGGAAATCTCTCCAGTATTGCTATTAAATGATATGCTCTGGAGAAAATGGTGGAGCTTTAGAAACAGGGGATAAAAAAGATTAAAAGATTTCATTAAATCAACATCCATACCGTAATTAATTGCCCTTCAAAACATTCAGCAGGCTACTATAATCGAAACCAGCAATCCAGCAAATTAAACATTTCATACATTACAAGGTAAAATATTTGGAAATATAATTCCACTTAAAGCTTCTATATATTTCTACAATGGCATGTAAATTGCGGGATTATATAGTTATTAGTAATAAATGATGTACAAATCAGAAAACCAAATAGATAAATTATGTTCCTCATATTATAGAAATTGACAGGCTTGTCTTTGCTAAGGTAAAATTATGTTTCACATTTTTTCAGTGCAAAATCAGAATGTAATTTTAATTTAGAGTAACAGAGTTGGAAGGAACCTTGGAGGTCTTCTAGTCCAGTTCCCTACTCAAGTAGGAAACTCTATACCATTTCAGACAAACAGTTGTCTAATCTCTTATTAAAAATCTCTAGTGTTGGAGCACCTACAACTTCTGGAGGCAAGTTGTTCCACTGATTAATCATTCTAAGTATAAGGAAAATTAGTTAGTTATAGTTTACTTCTCTCTTTGATTAGTTTCCTTCCATTGCTTCTTGTCTTGCCTTCAGCTGCTTTGGAGAATAGGTTGACCCCCTCTCCTTTGTGTCAGCCCCTGAGATATCGAAACACTGCTATTATATCACCTAAATGGATAGTTTTATATTGAGCCTGACAAATAGAATAAATATGTTTATAATGCAATAACATTGCAACTCCAGGAGAAATATTCCAAAAATTTGGACAATAATATGTAAGCAATGCAGTCAAATTTTCAAATCAGTACAAACTAGAAGTTAAGATAACTCTAAAACTAGAAAAGAATTTTTTTAAAAAATATATATTATCATATAGAATACAAAGCATACACCAGTGGTGGCATTTGACTGATTCAGCCCAGTTCTAGCGAGCCAGTAATAGCGATGAGCAGCAGAGATTGAATCAGTTCTCTCTGCCTCTGCTGCCTCTCTGCCTACTTGCCTGCTTGGGCTCTCATACTCACTTTTATTTGCTGAATTTGAAATGCAGCTGCTTTGCGTGGCACAGAATAGTGCCACGTGGCAGCTGATGAAGTGACTGGGATCGTCCAGGCTTGAAGGAGGTGAGTTATAATACCTCTAAGCCTGCACAAAGTGCGTGTTTGGTGCACATGTGCATGCAAAGTGTGTGCATGTGCGCAAAGCGTGCCCATCAAGTCATGCCCACCAAATTGGTGGCAAAAATATTTTAATCGCACTACTGGCACACACAGCTGGTACTCATAAAACACATTATGACTGTTGCTTGTGAAATATGCAACTAGATCAACCACAAGTATTGGAATTTAATAAGACTAGAAAATATATCTGATAGACTTAAGGATAAAACAAGATTGATATACAACTCTGCAATTGAATCAATGTTCTAAGTAGCCTGCTCACCTTCCATGACTCTTGATTGAGGACTTTCTGCCTCCTCATTGTCCTTTGCTGGCCTTGGAAAGAGCACAGAATATGCAAAGCATGTGCAACTGCATAGACAGCAGTGTAGACACTGTAGCTGTGGGCAGTCATGCTGGTTTCAAACACGGTCATGGGGAGATTCTCAAGTTTCTCCTCCTGAGTGCATATAGTCTCATCCTCTTCCTTTACAGAAGACATTGAGAGAAAACAATTAAATGTCTGTTGCCAGAATTCTTTTAAAAAATTGTCTTCTTTGTCCAAAGCTGGATTTCTCATCTGAACAAAATTTTGGAATCCCAATACCTCCACTGATATTACTGACAGAGACAGAGTTCCATGCATGAAATTAATGTCCCAACTCCTTTGAAAGAAAACCGATGAAAAGTCAACATCTGCTGTCATCACCCAAACTTTCGTATTATAATCTACATTACTGAATTCCAACAGGCTGAGTAAAAACCTTAAATTTAATATGCTCTGAAATTCCCCATGAAGCAACACAGTATTAGTTGTGCTGTTGAAAACCTTGTTTAAAATTGCATGTGATTGATGAACTATTTTTTCATCCTCACTGAGAAAGCCAGCTGGTAATTTTTCTATGAACTCAAAGCAGACACCTCTTTTGGAAAACATGGGAAAGATATTTCTCCACAAAATCTCTGCTATATTGCCAATGTTAAGGTAAAGCACTCCAACCCAGGTCCAGCCAAAATGCAAAAAAAGCTGAAGAAATCCTTCGTACTGGCGAAGAGCATTTGGGAGCATCCAGTAGAAGAAGTGAGATGGAGTTTGGGTCTTGGTCTCTAGAGTAGAGGCATATGCAACCTAAATGAAACCAGCAAAATGGGACAGATAAATAGTTAGGTCCATTGATAACTTTTGCATTAATTACATTTGCTAGATTTTCAGGTGAGATAATTCAGCCATTGTATTTTATGTCTCCAAAATATATAATAAAAGTCAAGAAATACCACAAAATGTAAGAGGTTTGTAAACTCAGTCTGGATTTTCCTTAAAGAACTTACTTGTGCAAACTTGTAGTAAGTCAGGATCGTAGCCATATCCAAAAAATCCATAGAACCCGGTCCCTTAATAACTGCTATTAGATTATTCTGAAGACCACATTTATAATTAGGGATGATTCCATTTGGAGCAGAGAGAAGTTCCATTGTAGCTTCATATGTATATAATGGACTAAAAAAGTCATTAAATATGTTGAAGCCTAGGGTGATGTTGGGTAAGATGAGAGGATTTTCATTAATTTCTTTTGCAGCAAAAACCAAAGCTAAGACATGTTGGTAGCTCTGAGTGAGCAATCTGGAAAGAAAGAAAGAAAGAAAGAAAGAAAGAAAGAAAGAAAGAAAGAAAGAAAGAAAGAAAGAAAGAAAGGGGGAGAGGAAGAATGGAAGGAAGGAAAGAAAGAAAGAGGGAGGGAGGAAAGGCAGAAGAATGGAGGGAAGGAAGGAAGGAAGGAAGGAAGGAAGGAAGAAAGAAAGAAAGAAAGAAAGAAAGAAAGAAAGAAAGAAAGAAAGAAAGAAAGGAGAGGAAGAATGGAAGGAAGGAAAGAAAGGAAAGAAAGAAAGAGGGAGGAAGGGGAAGAATGGAGGGAAGGAAGAAAGAAAGAAAGAAAGAAAAGAAAAGAAAAAGAAAAAGAAAAGAAAAAGAAAAAGAAAAGAAAGAAAATTACTGTATTATCTCTGAAATTTCAGTAAGTTTTTAGGAGAGGTTCTTCTTTTATAGGTTAATAAGGTGTAATTCTCTAAGTATGTGAATAGTAAAGGGTTGAAAAAAAGGAAACAGAAAAGAAATTGTTAGTTTAAAATACTTACATATGATCCAAAAGTATTTCCTGAAGTGGGGGTCTTCTGAACATTATTGTTTTAAAAATAGCGAATGACTGAGATAAGATGCCACCAATGATCCTGTCTCCTGGCTGATAATATTTATGAATGATAGTAATGGATTGGGTCCTGGGGCATTTTAATACTGGAACCTTGCAGACTATCTTAGGAAGAAGCATGAATGCCAATAAGTTAAATATCATAACCATGATTGAAAATCTCCCTTTAAAAGAATATTTATCCATTGGATCCATTAATGCTGAGGTAGCCTCAAGTTGGAGATCCTAAGTCAAGGCAAACCATCTCTTACTAGCCTGTTAATGCAGTCTCCCTGTTTTAGTATCTTTCATTCTGAAGTGCTAGAGGATATTCAAGTCTTATTTACTTGGATTTGTAATGTCATTAACAGCCTCTAGAATTCTCCACAGATCTAAAGAAGCTGCAAACCAATTCCAAATTCATAATTATAGAGTAGGTTATCATGCCTGGGTTAATTCCCAAGTCATGGTTTTCCTCTAGTCTAGGAAAAGTTTAAGAAAATGCTCTTGAAAGCAACATAAGAAGACATAATCAATTATTTAAATAAATAATTTTTAAAAAGTTTTTAAATTCAAATTTGGTAGCTTTTAGGAAGCACTATAAAATTATAGTCTTTCAAACATTTTCTTTTTGAGAAAGGTAAAGTATCCTTCTTATTTTGATTTATCTTATTGCAACCTCTATAATAATATTACCTATAATTAAAATGGAGATCTGAAAAAAATAAATTTATCTACTTCAAAGTTGGCAATCATTAATCTAAGAAAACAAGAGTTAGAGAAGGGCAGCAGACATAGCACTGACAAAAAAAATACAAAAAATAGTTTTTAATGTCAGCTTAATTGTCATGGTTTCCACTTTCATATATATAAATTTTATTGAATTTACAATTAAAAAAATAACATAACAACATTACATAAGAAACAGAGAGAGAGAAAGAAGAAAGAAAGAAGAGAAAGAGAGAGGAAAAGAAGAAAAAAAAACGCTCGGTCTTACGACCGAAAAAGGAGAAAAAGAAGTATAAAAGAGAGAAAAAAAACAAAGAGACGGAAGAAAAAAGAAAATACGTTAAAACCAGACAGATATTCTTTTTGACAGTCTACAAGATCCAATTCTCCTACCTTACTTTAAATATACACATCTTATCACTATTTATGGTTATTTATGCTTATTTATGCTCATTGAACAGTTTATCTCTGATATAACCAATTATACCACGCATTCCAATTATTATCAAATGCTGAAGACTCTTTATTTTTAAGAGCTATGGTTAAATTGTCCATTTCTGCGCAGTCACATATTTTCTGAATGACCAATTGATCTGTAGGTAAACGGGATGATTTCCAGCACTGGGCAAATGCTAATCTGGCCGCAGTTAGAATATGAATTATTATATATTTCGTCACATGCATGCACATAGATTCAGATGTATAAGTTATATATAGAAAAAGAATATTATTTTTCTTCTTGTTCTACTTGACTTCTGCCATTCTATCATCTTCATCATTGGCATCTAAGTAAGGAAGCCCAAATTAACTAGCAGATTGAAAACATTTTAACTGAAAGTAAACAGATTGAACTAAGTACCAAACATACTGTGTGTGTTGAAATTTCAGATAATATCAATAAATGTGACAAATCAATAAAGTGTGTAGTAAAATTAAACAGGGAGCCCTATTTAATTACAGACAAAAATGAATTATTGAAAAAGGATCTATGTACTTAAAGTGAATTGTGTGAGAAAAAGGATATTGTTTTTCAAAAAAAGACCATCAAAGTATTATTTGAAATTTGTCACAGTAATTGGATCACAAAAAATGAAATAAGGCATATCAGCTTGATTGAGAGAATTTAGTTTGAAAGTAGATCCTGACAATAGGTAACAAAATTTTGTTCAGATAAAAGAAGTCACAGCAACTTTTCCTCAACCAAATAGAGTGTTGCCTAGAGATGATTCCTAATCTTACTGAACTATGTCCAGCAAAGGACAAACAGACAACATCATTTAAATTGCACCATGGGAACAAAACTGAAAATGGTCTGTGTGAGAGTCTTTGGCTTCAGAGATAGCAAGAACACAAAGAACACAATGAAGCACTAACTGAACAAGAAGATGGAAAATGACTTTTATTGAAAAGAACAGATGCAGTGCAAACATGAAAAAAAAACTGGTGTAATTGATTATTAGATAAGCTTTCTATGTTGAAGTGTCAGATGTTTGTTTTAAAATTAATAAAATATGCCAAATTAATAGGCTATTGTAGTAGTTTTTTTAAAAAAAATTATAGACAGAAATTAATTCCTTGAGAAAGGACCTATTTAGAATGAACTGAGTTGGCACAATGCTTAAATTTTTTAAAAAGACCACATAAATAGTATTTGAACTCCTGTCACAAGTAAGTAGGTCACAGAAAATGAAATGAGCTTGAATGGGAAAATTTAGCTTGAAAGTACATCTTGACAATAGATAACACAACTATACATGTTTTGTAAAGTTAAAGGAAATTGGAGCAAGTTTTCTCAATTAAAAAAAAATACTGTCCCCCAGAATATTTCAACCATGGCTGGTAAAAGATAAACAGACAATACCATGAGAACAAAACTGAATATGGATTGTGTGAGAGTCTTTGACTTCAAGGTCCATCTCAGAGATTACAAAAAGGGGAAAAAAAGGAAGGAAGGAAGAAAGGAAGGAAGGAAGGAAGGAAGGAAGGAAGGAAGGAAGGAAGGAAGGGAGGGAGAAAGAACATACACAACTGCTTTCTTATTGCTACAATAATGACAATATATAGAATGTCATACTTTGACACGTTACATATGTCAAGAGTAATTTAAATGTCATGGACTATTGTATTTTTACAACTAGAGGAAAAAATAGTGACAATATAGTTTAATTCACTCTTTTTGTTAATTGTTCCCTTTTATTAAGATCTGGTCTAATTATAATAATGTAACATTTGGGGGAAAAGATAAAAGCCAGAAGCCCAGCACTAGAGGCCAAGATGGCAAAGATCTCCACAGCTATTGTGTATTTTCCTTTGATGCTTATGTAGGCAGGAACAAAAGACAACCAGACACTGCAAAACACCAACATGCTGAAAGTAATCGACTTGGTTTCCTGGAAAGTGTCCGGTAACTTCCTGGCTAGGAAAGCTGCAATAAAACTAATAAAGGCCAGGAAGCCCATAAAACCTAAAACAGAATAAAACGTTGCAACTGAACCTTCATTACATTCTATAATTATTTCACTATTTATAGACCACATATCAAAGCCTGGGAAGGGAGGAGAAATTCCAAGCCATGCCATACAAAAAGTACTTTGAATAAGAAAACCGGAAAGGATAATGAAAAGAGACAGTCTTTTCCCAACCCATGTCCTCATCTTTGATCCTGGTTTGGTGGCCATGAAAGCAAGGGCCACAGTGATGGTTGTGGCCAACATGCAAGAAACAGCCACTGAGAAGATGATCCCAAAAGCAGTCTGTCGAAGGAGACAGGTCACCTTCATGGGTCTGCCAATGAAAAGCAGAGAACAAAGGAAGGAGAGGAGGAGGGAGATAAGAAAGGTGTAGGAGAAGCTACGGTTTTTGGCTTTGACGATGGGAGTGTTGTGGTTCTTCAAGAAGATTCCTAGCACAAAGATTGTGATAAAAGAAAACACAAGAGCTGATGAAGCTAAGCCTGTTGCCAATAGATCTCCATAAGATAGATAACTTACATGCTTTGGCAAGCAATCACCCATATCTGGAAAGCCAAATGTATATATCTGAATCAAAAACAGTACCAGAAAGCCTTTTGTATATTGCTTGGCATTATGGTGTCCCATTGATAGAAATAATGCAACTTTTATGATTGAACTCCAATGGAATTCCTTTTTTCTTGGCAAATATTTTATGCTAAAGAACACATTATTATTATTATATAGACAGAAACTTTGTTTATTCATTGGCCACTAAGAAGACATCCAGTAAAAGAAACAAAGTAAGTCAAGCCTTATTATCAGTGAATTCTATCTTTTAAACAGATGGATTATCCTTGTTATCTAAGAAACAAAGTAATAAACAAAAAATTATCAGGATGCCCTGTAAATTTAGATAAAATGGATAATCAGTGTGTGGTGAATATCCCTGTAGAACTGGCCGTGTATGTACCATGGTTTCTTATACACCTGGAGTGTATCACGGGCAGTTTCAAGTTTCATTATGGATATTCCTATATTTCTCTTCTTAGCTGAGGAGAACAGCATTCATAATAACAGAATAACAGAATTGGAAGGAACCTTCTACCTCTATTCTTTAACTAAAAATGGTCCCGTTATGAGGTCATATTTCCCATGTCCTTTATTTCACAATTCTTTTTCTTTTTGAGTAGAGAAAATATGAAAAACTCCTAACTTCTCTTTTTTTTTACCTGTCTGATCTGAGATCTTCCCCTTTGGAGTGCAACCATAGCAGCAAAACAATTTTCCTTCAATTTTGGTCTTTCAGTAACCTGAATAGCACTTCTCATTACAGAATGAAATGGGTCTTTTCTGTTCAAAAAAAAAAAAGATAGTTACCAATATAGAAGTTTTCAAATGCTATATCTGTAAAAGTATAAATATCTTTTCTCTCCAATATGTCTGAAACAAAATACAGAATAATGAAAAATCTTGGGAAATTTAAGAGAAGAAAAATCCTCCTATTACTTAGTCTAGTCAATTTTGTGACATTTGCAAGCAAAGAGGTAGAAAGAAAAACTAAGGTGTGTTAATAAAAAAAAAAAACCTGAATATTAGATAATTAGCTGTCATAAAAAATAGAAGCAAACTGCTTCCTGAAACACTCAGATGAGTCTAGATGAAACAAACCTGAGGATATGATGTTATGAAATTTCCCCTTTGAGTCCGCAGAATTGCTGACAAATAGATTGCTGACAATCTATTTTTCATTGACTTTAATACAATCATTGGTTATTAAATTTAGATGCAGAAAAAAATGCAAATAAGGGATCCTTGGTGCTCTCTGAGCTTTGTTTTCTTGCAGATGTTTCATTACCCAAACCTGGTAGCATTCCTCCCTCTATGGATGGGATGTTACCTAGTTTGGATAATGAAATGTTTGCAAGAAAACAAGCAAGCTCAGAGAGCACCAAAGACTCCTCATGTCAACCCTAAGCTACAAGTATTATGTTTTATTGTCAATGGAGATTCTCAGTCAGCCAGGTCATGATTGTCCCAAAGGTGCTTTTTCCAGAGGCAAATAGCCTTTCTGGGTTTTTTTTTTTTAAAGAGACATTTTGTTTCTGAATTCAAGAAGCTGAAGGAGCTGAAGGAGATACCTCAATTCTAGGGGATTATGGACCAGTCACAAAATTCAACTCCAAAGCTTCACAGGATTTTTCTTGTGGTAATGAAATAAGTGAAACTTAGCATCTAAACTGCTGAGACCTCTTTCAAAACACTAAAGATGTAAATCTGATAATAAATTACTGCTACTGGAAATGTTAAATCATAGCTAATTAAACTCTCCAACTACTGTTTGGTTTAACAAAGCAATATTTTTTATATTTATTTTTTTCTGGAGTGTTAAAGAGTGGAAATAGGCAAACCTTCAGAAGCAATATTAAAATTGTTGCTATACAATTGATTATCTACAAAGCGAATAGAATAGAATAGAATAGAATAGAATAGAATAGAATAGAATAGAATAGAATAACAGAATTGGAAGGGACCTTGGTGGTCTTCTAGTCCACCCCCCTGCCTAGGCAGGAAACCCTACGCCACTTCAGATAAATGGTTATCCAACATCTTTTTTAAAAGTTCCAGTGTTGGAGCATTCACAATTTCTGGAGGCAAGTTGTTCCACTGATTAATTTTAATTTTAAATGTTAAAGAAGTAGTCAGAAGAGGACATTTCTTCAGAATGAAGGGAAGGCAATATATGCATTTTCTACTGAGATATATAAACCTGGAAGTCATGGCTCACTATAACAACATTGAACTAAACCATGTTGAAATAAGATGAATCTTACCTGATTAAACCGGTTGGGCCAAATGATCTTCTCTTCAGAAATAGTCAATGGTTTGACAGAGAGTGTTCCTGGATCTATCCTTCCATCTTTGACTCTAAGAAATGTCTGGTTTGGATATGTAATCCAGTTTGTAATATCAAATCCTGCAACTGTTTCCCCATTATTATCAAAGGAAATCTCTCCAGTATTGCTATTAAATGATATGTTCCACAGAAAATGGTGGAGCTTTATCAACAAGATAAAAAGGTACAAAGATAAGAATGCATTTCATTAAATTAATTGCTCCTCAAAATGTTCAGCCAACTACTGTAATAGAAAGAAGCAATTCAGCACATAAAGCATTTTATACACTGCTGATAAAGTATTTAGAAATAACCTGTTCTGTTATGGAACAAAGACGGACTTGAGACCGGAGTTGAATTCAGCTCTTTATTAAGTGTTAGTAACTTCAACTAAACTCGAGACGCGGCAGCCTCTTTTATAGCAGCTGCTCGCAGCTTGCGGCCAATGGCATCATTTTAAACCTCCCGCCATTTGGCGGACCAATTGCAAATAGTTGTTAACCACCAATCGCTAGGTGGCAGTGGTAGTCCAATCGGAACGTAGTATTATGAGTATGCAAATGTCTATATACAACACCCCTCCCCTCTTGGTTCGGTCCATGCTATGTTACATAATCACGTAAGTAGGCAGGGCTTTTATGGTTCCTACTTGACCTGCACAGTTCAATCTCTGTGTTGTCTTCAGTCGGTTCAGACGGGATCACTGTCTGTCCTGTCATCCCAATCTGGTAGAGGTGAGCGGCTCAATGCATTGGCATGGGGTATGGCTTTTCCTGGTCGGTGGACAAGTTTATAGTTGTAGGCTGCAAGGAATTCTGACCACCAATGCCTCTTTTGTATATCGAACTATGCATTCCGCTCATCCATTTGAAGCCGGGTGAGCTGGCGCTGGCAGGGCATGTCGTATGCCCTGTTCTGCGAGGAATTGTTCAAAAGCTAAGGCTGTGAACTGTAGGCCATTGTCTGAAACCAACAAGTCTAGTAACCCATGCATGGCGAACAGTTTTCTTAGTTGTTTGGTGATGGCTTCAATTGTCGTGGAATTCATGATGCTGACCTCCAACCAGTTTGAGTAGGCATTGACAATGATTAAAAATGTATATCCTTTTGTGGGTCCGGCAAAATCTATGTGGATCCTCAACCAGGGGCCTCTGGGTGTCTCCCAGTCAAGGACCGGTTCTAGAGGGGGGGTAGGTCTGGACTTCTGGCATTTATGGCATATTGTCACCCATGTTTCAATGTCTTTGTCCATCCCTGGCCACCAGACGTAGCTTCTGGCCAAGGATTTCATTTTTACTATACCCAGGTGTCCTTCATGTAACATGCCCAGCACTTCTTCCTGTAGTTTTTTTTTTTTTGGAACGACAACTCTATCCCCCCACAGTATACATCCTTTTTCAACTGACAGCTCAGTTTGCTGGGTTCTGAAAGGTTTAAAAGTCTCGTTCTTATCGTTTTCCGGCCAGCCCCTTCCTACCCGCTTTAGAATCCTGGCCATCAATGCATCTTTTGTGGTTTCTTTTGCGATGTCTGATGCAGTGATATGCAGATTTGGTAATGTTTCAATTTGTAAGGTAGACATGGTAGGAGCTGGGTCGTCATCCCAATCTGGTAGAGGTGAGCGGCTCAATGCATTGGCATGGGGTATGGCTTTTCCTGGTCGGTGGACAAGTTTATAGTTGTAGGCTGCAAGGAATTCTGACCACCGTGTCATCCTTGGTGACAGGATGTTGGAGGTGGCTGTTTCCTGCCAGGATTCCCAACAGTGGCTTGTGGTCAGTAATTAAAGAAAATGTCCTACCATAAAGGTATTCGTGAAAACCTTTGACCCCCAATATGGCTGCTAGGGCTTCTCTATCCAGCTGGCTGTAGTTTCTTTCGGCTTTTGACAGTGTTTTGGAGTAAAAGGCGATCAGTGCCTCTCTGCCATTGGGTAGTGTGTGGCTAAGTATGGTGCCCACACCGAATGGTGATGTGTCGCAGGTGACAGTCAGTGGCAACGTGTCGCTGTATTGGATTAATACAGATTCAGATGTTATTAAGTCTTTAACTCCCTGGAATGGGGCTTCTTCTCATTGGCCCCAGGCCCAGGTGGCTTTTTTATTAAGTAGTCTGTGCAGTGGTTCTGCTATTGTTGCCTTCTGTGGCAAAAAGACATTGTAAAAATTAATGAGTCCCAAAAATGCTTGTAAGTCTGTTTTATTTTTGGGTCTGGGTGCTTCTTTTATAGCTCTTTTTTTTTCAGTGGGGTGGATCCCTGCTTCATCAATAAGGTATCCCAGGAACTCGACCTGATTTGTAACAAGTTGGCATTTTTCTTTTTTGACTTTGAGTCCTGCTTCTCTAAATCTCTGCAAGACTTCCATTAACCAGTCTTTTAGTTGTTTTTTATTTCCAGCGGATACCAATGCATCATCAAAATAAGGGA